CCTGCGGACGCTGTGACGAGCAGTGTGTTGCGGCTGAGCTACCGTGCTCGCCTGCCGACACTATGACGTGTAGTGTGTTGTGGCTGAGCTGCCGTGCTCGTCTGGCAGCATGATGGACCGATGGGCGCGCGCCGGCGCCGTGCCGGAGGTGCTCGGCTCGCCGCCCTACCTGGGCGTCGAGAGCCGCGCCATCTGGGAGAAGTCGGAGCCCTGCCTGCCTATCGAGGCCATGGATAGACAACAGGTCAGTGGGCTCCTTCGGCACATCACTGCCGTCCTCGTCCAGTGTCCTACTGACTTGCTGAACAGCTATTGTGCATGACGGATGGCGTGATTGCGTAACCTGTCGTCCTCGTGTAGTGTGCTAGTATGTACACGGTTCGTTCACCTGTAGTGATTCCGCCTTGGCACGTCACTGTCGTGCTTTATCGTTACGTCGTTGTGACGTCACTGTCCGTCTCCATGTATTTTACTTCTTAAAAATACGTCCTTATCACTGTAGGTGCCTCGGCAGTTGCCGAAAGCAGGCGCAAAGTGCCGACACTATCGTCATTCCCGATGACCAAAGGTTTTCTATCACCTGGCGCGGTGTGTGTGGCCGTTTGGTAGCCCTGCACTAGTGCCGTCAACCGCACGTGGGTTCGCCTCCCCCGCTCGACAAAAACTTTCTTTTTTAAAACGGCACGGCAGTTTTGGCACCCGGGTTTCCAGTTGAGTTGTGCCGTCACTGGTGTCCTCAGCACTTGTTTTTATTAATCCGACTTCATCATAAATCCGTGTATACCTCTCGGCTCAGGGGACATGTTCCTTATAGCCATAAACTGAGAGGGGCAGAACTACCGACCAAACCTGTAGACTACCCCATGCTTTGATCCTATGGTGCTGATCGACACCAGACTTTCACCATTTGTGCCGCTTGGTTGATAATCTGTTCTTTCCAGAATGTGATGACCTTGGGTCAGACCAAAAGTCACCGAAAATAAGAAAAACAGAAATTTATGGTTGCAGATAACCCGGCACAAATCCTTTAGCAATCGATGCATCATGGTCGATACCCTGTGATTTCCAGAGCATCGTGACCTGGGATAAGGCCAGGGATCCCACAAACGCCTATTGCCAACAAAGTTGGCTTCAGACAACCCCATGTACCGAGCCTATGGAACCAATCGGTACAAAACGTTGACCAATCAATGCGCCATGGCTGGTGTCCTATCTTTTCCAGAGCATGATGAGCTTGGGTCAGGTCATAGGTCACCAAAAAACGGTCGAAGCCACCTAGAATTAGTTTACGGACAACCCCATGCTCCGAGCCTATGACACCTGTCGTCACGAATCCTTCCCAAAGTGCAATTCGAATTCTGATTATCTAGTTTATTCTTTAATTGATTATCAACAAAAGGTCTCGCTTAACTACAACAGCGCATGGTAATCCAGAAAAGGGCCTCCCGATGCATAGAGAGGCCTCCAAATCCGGAGCAGGATGCTTACAATGCACGAAGGGGGCTTCCGAATCTGGCCAGGCGGCCTCGCTGTCCCAAAACAGGGCATCCTGATCCGGAGCCGCGGCCATCTGACGCATGAAAGGGCCCCTCCTGTCCCAGAAATGAGGCGTCCTGAATAAAGATGGTGCCTCCTTAGCAAGGCATTGGGTCTCCTGATCTAGAGCATTGGCTATCTCATTCGTAAAAGTGGTCCCAATGCCCAGAAAACCATTCATTGCGCAAAACCATCATATTATCCAAACTCTAAATGTTTAGCAACATGTATGCATTCGGTTATGCAAGGGTTTTCGTTGACTGTATTTGCTCGTATAAACGCTGCCATTTGCACAAATGCGTTTGATGAACGGTTTCGTTCCAACCACGGCATTTGTTCGCGTGGCGACTTTGCGTGCATGACGGTCCGTTTTTGTCCAGATACGTTCGTTCATACGATGCACCATTCATACCAATAAGTCCATTCGTACGAATGCATTCGCATCTTGGTATGTATGTATCGGTACAAATGTATTGGTTTGTGACAATGCGTCAGTTTGCACGAAGGCATTAATCCATGCAAATGCATTTGTTTACAGAGAGCAGTCTGTCTAAATTCGTAGTTCATTTGCACAAATCTATTGGATCTCACAGGATCATTTGCGTCGGTGCCATCACGTCATTACGATGCAGGTGTGACGTCACACACGAAGCCTGTCACCTTCCGATGTCGAAATGCCCCTGATTGCCTCGGCATAGTATGCGCTGCATGAGAACCCCAGCCGTTCATCCTGCACGACGGCAGAGCCTCCCGACATCCATTCGACAGCCTCTGCCATTTGTAGCGCCTCGTAATGTGATTTAGGTGGTTTAAACTGTGAGGCAATTGAGATGACACTGAGGGAGCAATGTCGTGACAACCGGACACAAATCGCTGCTCGTGCGTGCCTTGTTCGCCAGGCGCTGCGGGGTGACGCGCGGCTGCCGGCCTACTCGGAGCCGCAGCTGGCGGCCATCCTGCGCGAGCGGCAGACCTACCTCTCCTACCACCTGGAGCAGCCGGGCCTCTTCCTGCTGGCGGTCAACTCGGACCGGCTGGACGCGGCGCTGCAGCAGCTATGCGACCAGCTGTCGCGCCGCCTGCCGCTGCAGCCGGCCGAGGCCAGCCAGCCGCGCTGGGCCTGGATGGAGCGGCTGCTGCGCACGGCTCCGATCGTCAGCGACGCAGCCGCCCAGCAGCTGCGCCAGGAGCTGCGCGACATGGAGAGCGTAGCCACAGGCGGGCGTCAGCAATGACGGCAGCTGCAACCGCCCAGCAGCTGCACTAGGAGCAGCGCGACATGGGGAGCGTAGCCACAGGCGGGTGACAGCATTGACGGCGGCTGCAGCCGCCCAGCTGCGCCGACGGCTGGGGGCATCATTGGGCGAGGCCATACGCAGCCGGTAGCGCTATGGGAAGCTGGGGGCGCCACTCAGCAGCTACGAGCGTGGGGGCGTGGTTACCCTCGGACGGCGGCAGTTGGAGCAGCTGACCAGCTGTGAAGTTGGGCGGGGTAGGTGGCCGGTTGTCTTGCACAGAGGGCGGTGCAGGAACGGTCGAGTTAAGCATGGGGAAGAGAGCGGCGGGATGATGACGCATGTTTCTGTTTGATGGATGAAATATAATTAATTGCTGAGTGACTGGTTTGATGTCTGATTCGCAAAGGATGACTCCACCCGCTTCGTAAGAGCCGTCCAGGCAAACTGCCAAATGACAAGTGAATGACCATTGTAAGGCCATCAGACCGCCTTCCCGGTGTCTAAGTGCTGCGCGCAAGATACCTTCCGCCCCCTAAGATGGCGAGCCATGACTTTACGAACCTTACTTTATGTGCATGACAACAGTCCTGGCAGGCTGTTGGAATCAGCACCAGCGGGCTTTTCAAGAATGCAGTACGTTGTGTGCGTCCCGTGGGAGCGCTAACGAAGCGAATTATCACGGAGTCGAACGTCCTACTTAGTGCCCAACCACTTTGTTTTCAGCGAGCGTTATCTTGAAAGCCTGCTGCTGATCATAAATCTAAGCTGTCCCCAGTCGCAGATTGCAGCATTTTTATTTTCGCACCCTTGATTTGCAGCGCGTTTTGACGACAGAACTTCACACGACCGCGAAGCTTAGCCTGCAGCACTGCAAACAGGTCCCGGCACCCCGGTGATGGAGAGCCTTCTCTGAACGCGTTATGGCTCTCGAGGTCGCCCTTTGCCCCGCCGGTCTTCCGCATTGTGCAGCGGGTGCAGGGCGGCGAGGGTTTGTGACAAGCGGAGGTCTTTGACTGGCGGCCGGAGGTAGAGCCTGATATGCTGGTCGGACCAGTGGCTGCTGCTAATGGCCTCATGTCTAGCGGTGAGAGCCGTGAACATCGTGCAGTGGTGTCTGTTTTAGCGCTCAGAGAGGTGCTAAAGGGCCCTCGGTCTCTTCGGGACGGGCTGAAGTGTCAAGAGAATTAGCGACGGGCTGAATATCTCACCCGCCTGCCCCGGCGACGGCGTACATCATCATTTCACTCGTCACTCGTGCTCGAGAAATAACACTACGCTGACGCTGAACAAACGGCGCACCTCATTGTAAAGAGCTTCGTCAGGGGCCTACGCTGCGGCCACTGAGATGATGTCCGTGATCTTGGGCGTTCATCATTACGTACCGCGGTAACAGAATGATAAATCACCGACTCTGCATAACAAAGGGGTGTGAATACCACTACCATGACTATACAAATAGATTAGACACCATCGTTCATCCTCACACTCCAGTCACGGTCACAGCCAGCCTGTAAAGCTGCTGTCCATGAGTTGAATCACCGGGATAGCATCAACTAATCTGAATGAATCTGATCTCTGTGTCAGCCGTTGTCCGCGCGCTGCTCAGTGACGGAAGACGGCACAAAGCGACAGGCCTCTCCAAAGCTAAACAATGGGATACTATTGAAGTGTCTTCGAATCATGTGATGGCTTGATGCTACCGTTAGAAAAATAGTGCGACGCACGCTTTATTTCCAACACATTGGAAAAAATGGAACCAGTTTAAGGAAGTGCATAGTTAACGTGCCATGAGCGATGACTGACTGTTCTTCATCGACAGCGAAGCCCGCTTCGTGTTTGTGTATCACATATTTTGAAACGGATCAATGGTCACACAAACTGACAAGCAAAATCAAACTATGAACATCTTGAAGATAAACTGATGTCGTAACGACACTCCAAGGCAAAATTGGCATAGCTGCACTTGCATGCGGCGCATGTCTTCATGCCGGTGCGAGACATGACATTGCTGAAGACCATCTCATCAAAGGTCAGAGGTCAAACGCTCCTTCAGCGCGCCGACCCCACCCGGAGAGCAACGGAGCCGAGTCGAGTCAAACCGAGTCGGGTGAGTCTCGCGAGTCGCGTGTGTCGAGCCCGTCCGGCGCCGGTCCAGTCCACCGCCCCCAGAGCGGGGAGAACCGGCGGTGAAAGCAGTGCGCCACCGCCGCCGCCGCCGCCGCCGCCGCCGGTCGACAGGCGTCAGTCAGCCTCCAGACGCCAGCCGCCCGACATGTCTCCGCTCGGACGCGTCCTCGTGCCGCTGGCGCTCTCCCTGCTCGCACTGTCCGGTGAGTCAAGTCTCTGTCCCTTCTCGTGCACCGTCCGTTCACTGCGACATGTGGTGCGTCCCCTGCCGTGCGTACCCTATCTGATAGTGGAGTCGCTGACATCTTCTCGCTCTCAGCCTGCACTGTGAATGCTACCATCATGCAGTCCTCTGCAAAGTCGGCTTGTGGCTCCCCTCGCACTCGTGCTCTCTACGCAAAGTCAGTCATGCCTCGACTCTACGCAAAGTCGAGGCATGTCTAGATAAAGCCAGTTATGCCTCGACTCAACGCAAAGTCGAGGCATGTCTACACAAAGTCAGTCATGCCTCGACTCAACGCAAAGTCGAGGCATGTCTAGACAAAGTCAGTCATGCCTCGACTCAACGCAAAGTCGAGGCATGTCTAGACAAAGTCAGTCATGCCTCGACTCAACGCAAAGTCGAGGCATGTCTAGACAAAGTCAGTCGTGCCCGGACTCTACGCAAAGTCGAGGCATGTCTAGACAAAGTCAGTCATGCCTCGACTCTACGCAAAGTCGAGGCATGTCTAGGCAAAGCCAGTCGTGCCCCGACTCTAGGCAAAGTCGAGGCATGACTTTTGACGACATGACATGACGGCATGATGACATGACATGACGAGCCACGTTGTTCGGTAAGGCATGTCCCAGCTTCCTTTTATGTGCTCCTCGCCTTCTTTGACAAGTGCCATGGCTCTGGCTCATCTCGATAATAATTGTCGCCACTTCCCCACATGTGCCCGAGCAAAGCTCTTGGGTGATCGCCACAAATGGAGTCTGCACTTCAAATGGCGCGGTGTGTGGGCGCATCCAGAGACGAACTTCCCGTCGCTCACTGGCCGGTTACGGACAGACGAATGAATGAAATTATGAATGAATGCTGCTGGATTACTGAATGACGTATTCCAAAGCAACAATGCGAGTTCTTTAGCTATTCAGCTTCCATGATGCGCACAAAAGTACGGCCGTCGTCAGTGGGGCTTTACGACTCACTCAGCTGCTGAGGTTATACGGCGTCGCCTGTCTTCCACGCTGGCAAGAGCACCAGGCACCGCAGGAAATCGGACCCTGTATCTCAGACTTTCCAGAAAGTACGGCGCGAATTAAATTACCAATGCATCGACTTACCAATGCTCAAGCTTATGCTTAACATCAGGGAATGAGAACATGATGAGTATTGTGAATGTGGATGCCCGCCAGTGGCGTTCAATGCGTATGGTTCGCTTTGCTGCGTATTTCTGGTCGAAATCACTAACATCGACATTGTCAGCATTATTACCACCGTTGCTGTAGATGTCATTATTCGCGCTTTGAACCGAACTACCCATTCCGTATGCCAACTGAAACATGTTAGTTCCGCGGTTGTTAGTGCCTGACGCAACAACGTTGACCCGACCCCAGACAGGCTGGGCCAGCCACTGACCCCGGGGACCAGCCGTGGTCTGCAGTGTGTTCCACCTGCTCCCAGAACGTCGCCCGTCTGCAGAGCCAGCGAACTGTGTGCTCTGGGGCATGGCTGACCGAATGTGTAACTGTGTAACCGCTATGTACACCCCGGCGGAATGCATGATGTACGTCGTATAACAGATCTTCAGCTAGCACTGCAGGTCCAGGGTACCGTAAGTTTAGCTTTGGTTTTGACTCGAAGAGTTTATCTTGAATATGCACAGCGATGTACGCTTGCGCTTGACTTAAGCAAACGTGCACGCTCCGTCAATTATCAATGGTCAGTTTTTCTGCCTGACCTGCGCAAAGCTGTGGGATGGGTAGTTGTAACCGGCAAGGATGCATCAACTGAGATCATATCGCATTCACCTCACTTAAGTAAGGGCTCTCCAGTTTTTTTTTTCTTTTTGTTCTGCTCTGCTGGCTGGTAGTTCCGAAAAAAGCTAGGAAAATCACAGCGCGTGAAACTCTCCACTGTCGGTTTTCGCCGACGGCAGATCCTGACAACCGGTCTGCGTTCAGTCGGAGCCCAGTCCAGGGATGAGCACCGCGCAGCCGCGTCCGGCCGGCGCGGGCGCCGCCCGTGTTCCGGTCCGCGCCGTCACGCCGTGACGCCCGTTCGTGACGCGTCCACGGTCCGTCGCCGCCAGCTGATCAGCGTCGGAGTTCCGGCAGCGGGGGCGCTGAGCCCCCCCCCCCCCCCCCACCTCCGAGTACTCCTCCGGGCGTGCGATGGCTCGGCTTGCCCCGCTTGCCCGGAAAACTCAGAGCATCAGCATACGGGAGAGCCGTTACCGGTGGCAGGTGGCTGAGTAACGTTAGGCAAGGCAGGGCAGCGGGTTTGCTGTTCATACGGGATGAAGATATATTCCGACGCTGAATGTCATCGGCATTGATGGTGTGATATTGCAATGAACAAAGAAACGCAGAATATATGTATATATATATATATATATATATATATATATATATATATATATATAATTGTAGGACTATGCCGTCCGCGGAATTCCGAGATTTTGAATCTTCGTTTTGAAATAATTGTGGCAGCAATTGTCTCTCTCAATGTTGGCGCTACGACCCGTGTAGATGTTGTTTACCTTTGACCAAACTTTGTTCGTATGCAACCCGCGAGTGATATGCAAGCTAACTATAATGGACATTATCGTCATGCCGTGGGTTTCGCTTGCATTAAATGGGCAGGCCGAGCGCCCCCTCCCCCGAGTTCTCCGAACCTCATGGACCAGTCTGACGACTAGATTTTAAGCGAAAATTAGCGGTCCGACTCAGTTTTTCTTGTTGCAATTCATATGGCAGCTTTTGTTCTCCCCATCCCATGATGGATTTTTTTTCTAGAAATACTCCAACTCACTGGCAAATGTAGAGAGCAAGAAGCTGGTTAAGAAATTATGTCTTCACCATAGCATTGAAATATGTATAAACCATAACAACTGCCCCTCTTGCCTTTTATCCCTGCAGCCGACGTCGGCTATGTGACTTATGCATCCGCCTCTGCGGCATTCGAACCCTGCTGGAGCTTCGTTACCACTTGGTTATCAATTAATGACACGTTTGAAATAGTCCAGGTTAATATTTAAACATCGCCTGCTTAGCAGTACTCAGTTCCGTCTTTCTAACCCCTATCTGTGTCTTTAATATTTCTGCTTGTGTTTCTGCAAAAAGCAACGGCAGTTAAAGCAGTCTTCAGACCCTTCAAATCTAGAACATTTCAAATATTGCCGTTTTGCGCTTTGTCTTCGGCCGCAACATTGTGGACTAAAACAATGCCACAATTCAAGTACTAGCACGTGCTACTCGTCCCTTCCCAGGCATTGTGTCTAAGTGAAGGCAAAAGCTTTCCACAATTATTATCATGTAAAGAGTAGCGCCAAAAGAAGTCCTGCAGAAAAAAAAACAACAACACGGTAACGCATATGTAATTTGTCTGGCGATTTCCTGATCAGCCCAATGTCTCCAGATTAAAAGCCGGTTTGCTTCCACTTTTGCCATATGCCGGCGCCCCGACACCGGGCCGTGCTAGGAGGAGCGCGTGCTGTGCCCTGTGCCCCCCCCCCCCCTCTCAACGGTTCGCTGCTGGCGCGCGTTACCCACGCTAAGGCACGACAGTCAGCTGAACGACCTGTGACCTCTGACCCGCGCACGTGTTGTGGCGACCCGTGACCGAGCCCGTAACCGCGAGCGTGCTTGAGGTCAGCGTTCCTTTTGCATTTTCCGGACTCCACCGGCACTTTATTCGTCTTCACTTTTTATAGGACACAACATTCACTTGGAAGTGAAATACCACTCATTTCTTCACACGCTTGGCGCGGCCGGCGGTGCATTTACATGCAATACATGTGTAGATCTGGCAGATAAACGCATTTGATCACGCTAGTATCCTTTGACAACTTGTTATGCATTATACGTATTCAAGGGGTGTAAATGCACCATGAAACACAGTGAGCACAATCTTCCCCAATCGGGTCCAAAAATGGTTTGTATGCGCATCATACCAACGAAGATGCGCTTGTATCGTCCCGCGAAAAGCTGAGCTACCTACCGCCATCCTTGCACGCGACTTGTGCACACCGTTCAACAGTATCAGGTCCTGCGCAGATCGGTTATCTATGCGTGGCTGTAGATTAAACGTCAGCTTCGACGTTGGAGCTGACTAGTTGCCGCATTTGAACATTGTTCTTCTCCATCTGTCTGCTGGTCGAAAAGACAGTCAGGGGTATCTTAATATGTGGTGTGCCGCGAACCCATTTCACTCAACATTTAACTTCGCACGTGCACTCAACATTTTAAACATGCCGTCGGTATTTTTATACACTACTTGGGCCTACCCGCAATTTCCAGACGACACTTTTCGGCCAGCTCGGCAGCGCGGTCAATGAAGCGTCGGAGGCGTTCCAGGGTCTGGGTGTGCTCCACGTGTCTCCGACCTGATGGAGGAGTGGAGTGGAGAAAACGCGCCGCTTTTAACATCCGATAATCTGGAGCCGTAGTGTCCAGACCGGGCGAAGCGTATCAACTTTCCCTCAATACCCCATATTCCCGATTTCTACCTCTATCTTTTCCTCCTCCTCCCTTTATCTCGGGCCACTTTTCACTGACTGACCGGCTGGCTTCTCACTCGCCCATTTCCACCCTTACTCGCCCACTCCTACCTTTCTTCGCACTCACTGACTCACTCTCGCTCACTTCTGCCGTGCGAAGCTCACTTACTCGCTGTAGACCAAAGCAATGACGAATCAGCCACATGGCCAGCCTTCGGCGTGGGGGGGGGGGGGGGGACGGTGAATGCCCTGATTCGACTCGAGGTCGGATCGAGGTCGCCGGCCCGGGACGACACCACCCACCAACACCCCTCCAGCCCCTCCCCCCGCACCCCCGGAACCCAGTCAACGCCTCATCACCTATCCACTTTTTTGTCTGCACTATAGCGAACTTTTCCTTGGGCGGTTTTTCGACAGATCGGGTGAAAACCGTACTGTATTGTATCACGTGCCGGTAGATCCACCCACACTGGTGGCCATCCATACGCCCGTCGCAATGATATAAATTAGACGATGATTAGGAAGGGTAGGGAAAGGCAAGACAGAATGGCGAATGACAGGACGCACCGCAGTACACGGTTTGAGCAGACGTGGACGGTAGCCAGACTACACCGATTACAAGACGCCGAGCAAATTGCGCGTCGCCATCGGAGCGTTGTTTTATGGTCCCGTCTCGGGGGCACCGTGCACGCGCTGTACTCGGGCGTGATGTTTGATGTCCTGTCTGACTTGGTGAGTCATGTATAGAACTGCTCCCGAATCGTTGCAGCACTTTTCACCGAGTTCCGCGCTGAATCTGGAGATTTGACGAACCATATTGCCCAGGTGGGCTGCTAAAACCTTCTGTACATGTTGGAGGCCTGGTGTAGCTTACCTCAAAATGCGGCCACTGGTGAATCATTCGCTAGTAGGCTCATAACTTGTCCATCCAGTTGTACGGTAAACTGCCCAGAAATGCTGTTAAGCTGTCTGGTAAGCACACCAGGAAGTTATACAGTGAAATGCACGGTTGACTGTCCAGCTCGCTCACCTGTCCAGTGTGTTTTCCGTCAGCTGTGCACCGACTGTTCTTACGCTCTCGGGTCAACTGTCCGGTCACCTCCCCAGTGAAGCGTGTGGTTGTATCACCGGTGAACTGAACACTTGCCCTCCCGGTGAACTACCTGGTCATCACCTGTTGAACCGTCCGTCTTACCGTGGACGTTCTGTTCATCTCCCGGCAAATCTCTTCGATGAGCTTTCCGTTAATCTTTCCGGTGAATTATCACCTGCCCTGTCTGTCTGGTGATATCCCCAGTGAACTGTCTGGTTGCCGTCCGATAAGCCTGCCCCGCTCTCGCTGCTCTGTCTCGTGACGGCCCGCTGCCGGCGCCCCCGCGTGGCGGCGGTGTGCCGGCCGTCCGGACCACGCGCTCGGCCGGGCGCCGCGCAGCCGGCCACCGCCCGGCCGGAACCACCACATGGTGGAGGCGGCGGCAGTCACTGACCGCGGCCCGCTGTCCGCAGACGGTGCTGCCGCCGGGCGTCGCCTCCAGCGCTCGCCGGAGGCTCCGGCTCAGGTCCCGCCCACCTGCCAGCTGAGCCGCATCAGCTACAACTCCGGCGAGATGGTGAGCCGGTTACCATGGCGACGACAGACGCGGGCAGTGCTCTGGTGGAAGGCTTACGAGATCATGGTGGGGGTGGAAAACTCAGCCGTGAATACTGCTATTGTTTAGTGCAGGTTGACATCGCTGGAGATTACAAGGGTGTGTGCATGCTTCATAATGCTTCCAGTACGGAGAATGCATACCGAGCTGAGAATTCATAAATATTATTGCTTTCGAGCCGGTGTGCATTACTTACTAGACAACTGTCACATCCATGCCATTACCATTATACCATACCATACCATTGTACCATTATTGGAAATTCCTTTAGATGTCACTAATGTTCCACAGTTACCAGCGTTAAAAGCTGAAGCGCATACGGCCCGCCCACTTCGTGCTGCATTTAAAGTGCACTATAGTCAGCTGTTAATTCGTGGAGACAGTGCGAAAATGAACAGCCTAAAAATCTTGCACATAAACAATAAACAAATGACGAGGCACAATCAACGGTCACCAGCGTCGCTAGCTCTACGTACGACACCGCGCTGTGCCAGTATCCCGCACCATGAAGAATGCTGATGATTCTGCAGCGCGAATGATGCCCCCCCCCCCGAGCTATGCCACTCCGTGCTGTTCCCGTGGGACGGCTGGTGGAAAGCCGCGTGCCCTGGGCGCCACTTGGGACGGCGAACTCAGTGCAATCCGAGAAATTACCGGACGCGGTCGCGGATTGTGGCAACAGCCCACGTGCAGAATTTCGCACGTCCTCGGTCCGAAAGTCGGCATGCCTCCCACGAATTCCACAGTGGGTGGTCTTTCCACGCTTTTCCACACTTTCGGCGCCTCGCGTGGAGGCATCCGCCTTTGTCCCACGTGGTCGCGGTTTCCGTTTACCAGGCTGACCGAGCTGGAGCGGATGTGGTCCGAACCATAAATCTCGCCGCTTTGTTTCCATCGCCTCTTTTTACTTCCCGTGTCAGGTCAACCACCTGGCGCCTGCTGCCTTCGTGGCCGCCGATTTTATAATTAGGCACGGACCCAGCCAGGTCCCGCAAATTGCTCGCGTCCCGGGCGAAACAGGAAATCTCAGAGCAGTGGGCACTTGGGCGAGAAATCTACAGCCCCTCTCTGCCAACCTGGCCATGTGGACAGGCATCGATTTTGGAGAGGAATCTGTTGCCCCTTCCTGCTGACCTGGCCATGTGGACAGGGGCAGGCATCGATTTTGGAGAGGAATCTACTGTCCCTTCCTGCTGACCTGTCCTCGTGGACATGGGGCAGGCATCGACACTGTTCTTTATGCAAACCGATGCCGACAACAGACGATTGGCCGGGCAGCGGACGCCCCCTTGTACGGTACCGCCCCCCCCCCCTTCCCCTGTGCGACAACAGACGTCCTCCCCGCCGCGCGGCAGCAAACAGCGGGATGGGCTGGCGGTCAAGCGCTTTGCGTTGCGCATTGCAGCCTGACAGCAGCAATGTAATCGCCGCGGTCAGGCGGTAAATTAATTGCTAAATGCTTGCAGCTCGTAAACTCAGCTTAGCTTCTCTTACGATTGTCAGGTAATGGTTATCCCACGTTATGCCTGGGTGTCCTGTAATGAGCTGCCTCAGCTTCTGTCTCACCGCCAAAGACGATTCAGCCCTCGTAATGCAAGCTCATCAAACTGATGCTTCCTATTTACCATCATGACTTGTTATCACTTATGGTTTCGAGCTGTTATTTTTGGTATATCGCTTCTGGTATATGTTCCCTATTCGGCATAGATCATGACGATGCCCCTTTGGTCAAAAATATTGAGCGTTACCGACCGTTAATTTAATTTTATCTTGATGGTCGAAACCTAATTGGGTCACGTCCAATCTAAAGTCCGACTTGCCACTGCCTGACCTTCGCGACCGCCGCTCAACGCTGTCCCACTGCGCTCTTCTGGATGACAAACCTCAGTAACCCCTGTATGGCCCGAACCAGCCCCGTGTGGCCCGTGTGACCTCTAGGTGACCTTGTTCCAGGCACATGTCGAGAGCACGGATCCCTGTTCCTTAACTCTGGTGGCTCCTGCCCGACCACTGTAACCTGCCTGACCGTTAGGACATTTGTTTAGCCGTTTTAACAGCTGACTACTCCACGTGACCTCTGTCTGACCTGTGTGATCCCTTATCGACCCATGTGATCTCTTACCGACCCATGCGAGCCCTTCCGATCCGTGTCTTTGCATGACCCGCGTGACCACTGGTTGAGTCATTTGACCTCGGGTTGACATGCTTGACCATTGGTTGACTTGCTTGGCCTTTGCTCGACCCCTTTGACCTGTCCGATTCGTGTGAATCCGGGCTGATCTCGCTCCCCGGCACAGATCGAGCGGAAGAACCCGTGCGACTTCTGCTTCTGCTACAAGGGCGAGGTGCTGTGCTGGAAGAAGCAGTGCCCGCCGCCGCCCCAGAACGGCGACAAGTGCTCGCCCAAATACGTGGAGCGCGAGTGTTGCCCGCGCTACATGTGCGGTGAGTCCTCGTCCCAGAGTCACGTCATAGCTACTGCAGCAGAGCTGCTCTGTGAGAGGGGAGCAGGGGCGCTTGGTGTGTGGAGTTTGTCTCCATGAGCAAAGCTTGAAGCGCCGAGTTTTGCCAAAATGGCCAATGCTTTCCTGCTGACGTCGTTTAAGCAGTATATCCTGGTATACGGATCTTGTTAATTAAGAGTCGACTTGTGAGAGTTAGCGCTCACTGCTCACATGCTGACAACCAGGAGGGCAAGGACTTTCTTGCTGATATCAAGGCGTTTGTTGTCTGGATCCATGATCATTTCTTAGAAGACATTGCTAAGACTGCATCCCGTCGTGAGTACAATTTGGGAGCAGAAATTCGAGCTGATTGGATGTTATCTTTCTTTGGAATGTTTTGCACCCATCAGTAAACACCTCAGGTCTGTGACACCGCGAAAAGATGGCGGCATTCCGTGACACTGACGTCATTTCTGTGTTCCAGAGGGCATGGGTGAGAGGTTCAACCTCATTTAGTTGGCGAGCCTTCGTGACGCCCAAAGGGCCGCCAGCTGTAACAACAGTTGGCTGCACCGTGGCGCGGCGGCGTTATTATTGTTATTATTATTTCCGTTTTTTTTTTTTGCTTCTTGCTTGAAGGTTGTGAGAGTGACCGGAAGCGATGCCGCTGTGACGAACAACGGCGACGGCACGTGATACGATGAGGTCCCGTGACCTTGGTGATCTGAGATTTGGTCTCTGTGGAGATCGGACTAGCAGGGGCGTGACGTGGGGGTGCGAGTTGACCCTGGCGGCCGCGCGGACGGCGGCCAGCCCGGGGCGGAGGAGCGACATTTTGTAGCGAGCGGGGTCATAGCGGCGCGCAGTGTCATGGCGCGCGTGGTATCATGCGGTGTGTGGCTTTACAGGGCGGTCGACGTCGAAATCGTCATGCAGCCTGTGATAAAAATTGAGCAATGCAAGGCGGAAGGTTGGGCTAGATTGCTCCCACAAGTTTGCAGTTCTGTCTCGGGTAATGGCGTCCCACACATCTCAACGTTAACCGATCGAAGTTCTTCAGTTTTTTTTGTGAGGAGAGTCACGCACGACAGAGTCGAGCACCTATCCGAAGCAGCGTGCACCCCTCCTTTGGCATCTCTGTGGCCGCAGATTTGGTAGCGGAAAGCGGTTGCCAGGTGCTAAAACAAGCCTTCCGCCAATTGTGTGCTGCAAGTTGGGTATGCTTCGTAGTATTTAATCAAACAGAATCATTGAACGTGGCGCAGGCATACACTGATGTCGAAAATGGATGCGCATTCCGTTTTAGACGAATACGTGTTTTGAACCTACTGGCTGCATGTCGTGTAAGATGCTGGGCAATTTTCAAAATAAATGCGGATGACAGTGTGATTTCTATGCCCAGCGCACAAACCGCGCTCCAACTGGGACAATGCAGAGAAGAAAGCTGCGTGGCTGGCGAAACGTCTGAACAAGTCAACCGAGTCAACGCAGTCCTCGGCGTCGTCGCAGGGTCATCTCCAAACATCATCCGAGCCAAAGCAGCTGATGGTTGCGAAACATCCATCGCTCGGTATAGGAAACCAATACCCGCCTCACGCGACGCGGCGGGGAGACGTGGTCACCAAAAAGGGTCGATATTCGGCAGAACAGCCCAAGCCGTAGCGGCAGGGGTACGGACGGTTCCTTGATCTGCACAGATGGCATGGGTCGTTCCGAAACGAGGGCATCGTCCCGAAACCAAAACAAACATTGGAGGTGTCATCGATAGTTCACTCACGCGAGTGCACGTATGTCTAGGCTTCTCTGAGGCCCCGCAGGTGGTAAGTATACCGACATCAATATAAGTGAGGTCAAACCTTCAGACACTTCAGAACGGTAAAGACACAAAGACGCCAGCAGCTACGTGTCCTGACAGGTTAGACTTAGAAGTGACTTTCACCTGATTCAGAACCGGTCTTGTCTGCACTCGCCGAGCGTCGTTGGTGCCGATTGTCCAGAGAGTCCAGAGGCCGGCGCCGGACCGGGCCTTGGGGTCTGGGGCGGAGTGGCTGGGAGGGGTCCATGCGTGCAGACCAGGCGTTAAACATTGACATAAAGTGAGGACCACGGCCGGTAGTTAAGGTTGGAAGAGTAAGCAGCAGTGGATAAAGATGAGAATATCGACAGTCTCTTCGCCACTCGCATTACATTTGTTTGTGCAGAGCCGAGCTCCGAATGTTTACCGTCAGTAAACTAAACTGAACTGAGTTGAGCTAATAAGCACACAACTCGCAAACTGGTCTGTCGTTTGCCGGAGCCGGGGTAGGTTTCATCGTCATCCAAAGGTGGTCCTGGTTGGTCATTCAAAGGCAGCGCGAATGTATCAAGTCGCCGCGCAACGTCCGGAGAAATTTGGTTAAACCGGAAAAATCGGTGAACCGGCTCCGCAGCCTTAGTTTTGAGCTGTTGGAGCAAGGGGCTTTTGGGGGCTAAAGCCTCCTAAGGCATTACCAGAACTTGATCCTGATGAGCTGATCGGACCTAGGCCTCCAGAGCACAACCTGAGTCTGACGCATAGGTCACAGGCTGCCCCCCCCCCTCCCCTCCCCAAGTGACAGTTTGCTGGTGCTGAATGCGCGACCTGCGGCCAAGGGTAATACACTATTACAAACTATTGGAGCAGTCTCACATGGACTTTATGATTTTGCCACACAAGGTCCGTATTCAGAATGAGAGCCATTCCGGGAGAGCACCTGCCCTTCATCGTGGCGGTGAGGGCTAAAAACCCATACCAAACACGGCCTGACCCATACTCGAGTGGTGACCTGACCTGCGGCGACCTCGTGGCCAGACTGATCCGACCAGTCGGACGGCATGGGCCAGCCGGCGCCCCGCTCATCCTCGCGCGAATCGGGGCCCAGCGACGCAAAGCCCGGCTGCTCCGGCACGCCCGGTCGCCGAGCTAGGCCGGGTCTGGCGGCCCATGTCCCAGATCACGCCGGAGCCGGCGATCCGCGCTCCTGTCGAGGACCAGAGCCGGGCTGGCAGCCGGCACCGGCCCCGGGAAAGTCCGCACTCGCATGTAGGGCGCCGCCGCACCACCGAGCGAGAGCAGATCGTTCTGCGCGAGGCGCTGCACCGGATCGGGGCCAGCAAGGCGCGGAGACAATACGGAGGCCGGCGCCGACGGCCGGCGCGCGCGGCCGGTGGCCGCAGATGAGGCCGTGATAGCCCTGCCGTCGGAGCGATCCATCACGCCTGGATGGATCACAACACCCGGCGCTATTGTGGGCCTCACCCGACTGGCCGTGTCGGACATCGGTCACGCCTGATTGGTGGGTCCGGCGAGCGGCGCGTGCTCGATGTTGCCGCTCCAGCGAACGGGTCATTATGCGACGGTGCTCAGTCGGAAGCTCGCGCGCGCCGGCCGAAGCGCGTCCGATGCCAACCGTTCCCCGAACGCAGCCGCCGGCCGTCCCGTTACTGCGACCAGTTGTGCGGCGAGCATCGGGCGCTTTCGGCTGGGCGAGCCGCTGGAGCGCTGTCGCTTGGTCGTGACGTAAGCCTCCGGCGCGGATGCCGGCCGCGCAGCGTCCCGACCCGCCGCCGGTAAAAGCGGCTTGCAAGTACCGTTGTTCGTAAGTGAGCCCATTCTCGTCTACGCTCGCGTGCTGGCTCGCTCATTTGGGTGCACACAAATCAGTTACACGCTGGTGGGCCCGACAGCTGTGCACGTCATGATCGCGCTCGGCCGCGCTCCACGAACCGAGCGCCGGACTTGGCGCGGGGCTCGAGATGGCCGGCGCGCCCGCAAGCAGCTGTCTATGTAAGACCCGCTGCTGCAGTGCAGGAATCGTGCCGTAAGAGGACGAGTAATTCTGAGGCACCGCGCGTGCTTTTAATGACGGCCGCTTCGAGTCCCGTACCCCGGTTTCATCCTCGAAATGCATCCACTTATCGCTGCCGTGCTTGATGTGGAGCCACAAGCTGCCACCCTGCCCGCTCCCACGGCGCGAGCGAACGGCGTGTACACCTGCCGGCGAATCTGGCACTCGGTCCGTCGGCCCCCGCCGCGGGCGCTCCGAGGGGTCAGAGGTCAGGCGAGCAGCAGAAGTAGACCGCGCGGCGCCGCCGCCCGCCGCCGGCGACCTCTCTCATCTCGGCCGGCGGCAGGCGCGTGTCGAGCGGACCGCCGAGTGAGGATTGCACGTGCGGGACGGTGCGGTGTCAGGAAGCAGTGTCAAGCGGTGTCAAGAGGTGGGAAAGTGTCAGTCACGACTGCGTGACATCCCTTGTGACGTGGAACTGCAGTACTGAATTTTCCAGCAATGTATCTTTTCACCGCCGAGGGGCAATTGTGCTCTGGTTTCATGCGGCGTCTCCGCGCCAGACAGAACTCTGGGCTCGCCATTGACGCGAGTCCGTGAACGCAGCGGTCAGGGCTGTGCCTCGGGCGCATGCGCCGCCTGCTGGTGGGAGGGCGCCGCAGGAAGACCGGACGTTTGCCGCCTCGGTGCGCGCTGATTTGGCCGCGTCGGTTAAGGCTGCTGCCCGGCGGCGTCACATCACAAGAACGCGTCGTGCACGTGACGTGACGTCAGTAACGTGCACCGCTAAATATAGCCGGCTGCGTTTGCTATTCAGTTCGAGGGACGGCAATGGGCGCAGCCAGACCCATGGCAAAGGGAGGGGGGGGGGGGGCACAGTTAGCAAAAGACCTTGACAGTGAGACTGCTCCCCCAGGAAGAAGAAAAAGACATCGCCGGATATGTCTCATTCATTGATGAGACCATGTTTTCTTCCGTTACTTCTATTTTTTGCTTTTATAGCATGGACAGCAGCCAGAAGCGGCCGCGAGATCAATTCTGTCTGAAATTCGAAGTTAATGCACTGAAAAAGTCAAGCGTCAAACGACTGTATGAAATAGATCACCGGCGCTCTTCATTTTATAATGGCCCAGTCGGCTCTTCCCGAACCGATAAAACTCGAAGCCTTGCCGGAATCTAATCTAGGTTCTACAGACGTTCGAACCCCGGGAATGTTGATCGCGTATCGAGATAGGTTGGCAATTTGCATCAACATGGGCAAGCCAAGTTTGCCTGGAATTGATCAACATTCATTCAGAGTCGATAAGTGTTACAAATTATGTAACGTAGCTTTCAACAAGCGCGCATGCAGATATTTGCAACAAAACCTCGACACCAGGCGTTGCAGTCTCCGTAGGCCGCGCAGCGCGGGCCCCGCAGCTAGCTCTTGGTTGTGGCCAATGGGTGAACGAAAATGACAACGTATCTAAAAAAGTACATTTGAAAGCGTTAGAACATCAGATCGTACATTTAGGAGGTAGTGCGGACGTATATTTCACATGTGCGATTTTTAGATTGATGATAGGAGCGAATTGGCCTTCACAACAAAGAGCCCCACCATTGTTTCAGGGGCCCAGCCCAATACAAATCGTGGCCACGGCTTTGGGAAACGGCTGCTTGGGAAGTCCCCCCCCCCCCCGGGGTTCAGATTGAGGGGGAGCCAACCGCTCGGTGTTAGTGGTCTATGGCCGACTGAGGGCACCCGCGTTGACTTAAGGGGGTCCTCAAGAGTTCAGGAGTCCTGAGGTATCAGGCGGAGGGCCTCTTCCAAAGGCCCTCTGGCTGATATTACAGGTCACGACCCTACGGACCGCAAATATTCATGTGGCCTGAAGCTAGACCTTCGGGCTCTTATGCCCTCCAACCGGGCTTTTGATTGTCGTTTCCGGTGGGCCGCCCGGACCTTCTTCGGGCCTCATCAAATGTTACCCGTTGTCGGCTTCGGGCTCCTTGCGAAACCGGAACCCCTTGCTAGGCGATATGGGCCCCTGACAGACACAGGAGCCTTACCAGTGTGAATCGCTAGCCCCGGCCCTGCATCTGATTGGGAAGTGGGCCCTCAGGACCATACCGGCACGGAGCCGACTGAGCGGTAATGGTGGTGCTTGACCGACGTATAGGCCCATATACGGGACGTATAGGCCCGTATAGACGTATAGGCCCATATCGACTCAGGGCTCCGCGATCGGCGTAAAAGGCCCTCTTACTGTGATTTGAGGGCTCGTTCCCGCAGGCCGGGACCCCTGAATAAGACTACGACCAGCCCTTCGTGCCCTTAGGCCATCCCATCGGGCCCTGGATCGTCGGTCGCGGTGGGCCCTCTAGGCTCTTTGGGCCTCCTCGATTTCTGCCCCTGGTTGACTCTGCGTCCCTTGCCAGCACAGAGCCCTCTGTTAGGTGCTATGGGGGTCTGACAGACGCTGGATCCGCGACCAGTCTAAACCGTTGACTCCGGCTTCCTGTGAAATGAGCCATCAGGGCTCAGGCCCATGCTAACGCGGAGTTGGCTGTGCGTTACTGGTCGTGTCTGACCGACATATA